TAGGTGACCAAGGGCTGGAGCTTGAGCCAATGGCTGTGGGGAGAATGGGAAGAAGTGTGTTTCAGGCAGAGTGAACAGTAAGCAAGCCTCACAGTTGCTTCATTATTTCTCTCTGTGAGGCTCAGAGGTGGAGGCGTCAGTTGGATCTTGCAGCCAGGCCCTCACCTCCTCCAGGGGGGCCGCATGGCTTGAGTCCTCCAAGTGGGGAAAGGTCTCACTTAGCTTGTGAACAGTCTTTTCTCATCAGAACCAAACACCTGGGGCCCCCTGGCTGCCCTGTGAAGACCCTGCCAGACAATGGGGACCTTTCCTTTGGGGACAGTGTACAAGAGTGGCTCACATATCCTCCCCTTCTTGCACCCCAGTGCTTTCTGTGAGTTTAGACGGTGACATCAGACAGACAAAGGCTCAAATCCAGACTCTAATGCAAGCTGTGTGGCCCTGAGCAAGTTGGTGACCTTGGGGCTGGGCATGGTGAGGACCATTTTGCCCAGTTCCCAGCAAGCTTCACGTACTCAGGATACTTCTGGGGCTGGTGATACTGGGGACATGGATTTTTCTTGAGCTGATAGAGAAGCAGCCCACTCTGTCAGGACGTAAACTTGGGCTGACCTGACAGGGCAGGAAGTTCCCTTCTCAGCAGAGACGATGTCTAGAGGAAGGCAGTGGCTCCAAGAAGGAAATGACTCCCGGGCCTCGACCGATGTCGGCAATGGGCACAGCCAACCTTACCGGCCCACCCTTAGAATGTGCAGCATGGAATAAGATTCTAGAACCTGATGGGGTAGGGGTGGAAAAAAGGAATGGTGCTTGTTAAAAAAAAGAAAAAGAACAAACGAACAGATTTCATGGCCCAGTTTCCTAGAGTCCAACTCAACCAGCAGTGGGTTCCTAGCACCTGATCTGGAAACAAAACGAAACACTGTTGGGAGAGGATATTTACTTCTTAACTGCAACTTTTTACAAAAGAGAACATATATTAGTATAGTCACATGCTTCAAAATACAAATGATACAAAAGACTTTTATAGCTTTACTAGAGGCCCGTTGCACGAAGATTCATGCAATAGGCCTTCCTTCCTCTGGCTGCTGGCACTGGTTTTCCTCTGGGCCCCAGGGCTCAGGTCTTTGCTCTGGCCGCCGCCTTCCCTCTTCACTCCCACCAGAGTCTTTGCTGTGCCCGGAGCCTTCAGTCTTTGCTCCAGCTGGAACGCCGCTCCTGTAGCATCCTCCGCCCCCGCCCTCCCCCTCATAGCAGGCATCCCGCCCTGCCCTGCCGCTCTGCTTGCTTGCTGCCCAGAGGCCCTGAGCAGGTTGGGGGTGGGGTTGCCACCATCTTTGTTGGGCTAATTTGCATACTCACGCCTGATTGGCTAGTGTGTGTCATGGAGGTATGGTCAATTTGCATCCTTTTTATTAGTGTAGATTATGAAAAGTCTCCTTGTTTCCTTTCCCAGCCCCATACCACTGTCTGGGAGTGCATTAGTGTTACAGCAACTTGTGTTGTCTTCCAAATGGAGTCTAGACCTTAGAACATGTAAAAATACGCATATTCTTTATTTCATGGTTTGAGTTCTAACTGCATGAGGCAGGGATGCATGTCTGTTTGGTTTGAAGGTGTATGGACAGTGCCTGGCACTTAGTAGATGCTGAACAAGTATTTGTTGAATGAAAGGTGTTTGTTTTACATGTTGCTTTTTGTTGTTGTTTTTTCTTAATATATGGTCGAGATGATCTCTCATGTCAGTGCCTGGAAAGCTTCCTCAATCATTTTTTTTCTTTTTTTAAAAAAATATGTTTTTATTGATTTCAGAGAGAGGAAAGGAGAGAAAGAGAGAGAAATATCAATGAGAGAGAATCATTGATTGGCTGCCTCCTGCATACCCCTTACTGGGGATCAAACTTGCAACCTGGGCATGTGCCCTGACCAGGAATTGAACCAGCAACCTTTCAGGACACAGGATGACACCCAACTAACGGAGCCACACCAGACAGGGCTGAACTTTTTATTGAAACAAAATTCATACGTAAAAGGGTTCAGATCTTACACTTATGAGGCTCTGGGAGTTTTCGCACCCAAGTAACCAGCACCCAGTTCAGGAAAAATATTACCAGCACCCCAGGAGCCTCTCATGCCCAAGGAGGGCTTATCAGTATTATTTTTATGTATTATTTTTTGTGGTAAAAAAGAACACACACACACACAAAATTTATTATCTTATTTCATACACTGTTTTAAATGTATGAAAAATAAAAAGAATGTACAACAGAGGTGATATGTGAACCACAAAAGTTAACATCTTGAACTTCTGGCCCTCAACAGAAAAACTTTGCAGCCCCGTGGTAAAGCCTTCCCCATCACCCCAGAAAGTTCTCTTATGTCCTTTGCCCCATCAATCCTCAAAGGGAGGGTTATTTTTAAGTAGATGTAAACACTCTTAAATAAACAAAATTAACATATTCTCTGTGGGAGCTGGAAATTAAAATTTAGCCCTCGACCGCACAGCAGATTTAGCCTTCCGCCCGAAAAAGCCCTCAGAAACGCTCAGCCAGCTGTCCTCATCCAGAGGTAACCCGGCCTCGAAGTCTCCAGAGCTTCGTCTACTAATTTCTCTTTCTCTTTCTGTGGCATTTGTATCTTTTTATAGTTCCTCAGGCTGGTTTAATGAAAAATTGTACTGTTCCCAGAGTAGGATACTATGTTGCCTTGTAAAAAGATGAAGTAGGTTTAACTTCTCTGATGGGGAACAATGTCCGATTATGTTAGTACTAGAGGCCCTATGCATGAAATTCGTGCAAGAGTAGGCGTTCCTTCCCCCGGCTGCTGGCACCGGCTTCCCCCTGGCACCCAGGACCCAGGCTTCCCTCGCAGCCCCAGAAGGACTAATTAACATATTATGCTTTTATTATTATAGACTAGAGGCCCGGTGCACGAATTTGTGCACCAGTGGGGGGTCCCTCGACCTGGCCTGTGGGATCGGCCAAAACCGGATCTCAGGTGTCCCCTGAGTGGTCCCAGATTGTGAGAGGGCACAGGCCAGGTCGAGGGACCCCACTGGTGCACGGTGGGGGCTGGGGAGGGACGCAGGAGGTTGGCCAGCCAGGGAGGGACACAGGAGACTCCAGGGCATGTCCGGCCCATCTCGCTCAGTCCCAGGTCAGCTGGACCCCAGCAGCAAGCTAACCTACCAGTCGGAGCATCTCCCCCCTAGTGGTTAGTGCACGTTACAGTGAGTGGTTGAGTGACTTTAGCATATCATTAGCATATTACATTTTGATTGGTTGACAGACAGCTGGACACTTAGCATATTAGGTTTTTATTACATAGGATGTGTGACAAAACTCAGGGCTAAATAACTAGAAATCTGTTTGTGTATCTGAACTGTAACCAGTGTCTGGAAGGAGGAAAGGAAAATCAGTGAGAAGAACTGTTCCCACGGAGAGGAAGTGAGGGCTCCGGGCCTGGGGTGACAGGGAGAGTGATTTCTGTTAGTCTGAAGTCTTGTTCTGGTGTAAGTTTTTATCTTGATTAGCATATAGGTTGCATAATCTAAAGTTCATTCATAACTTCCCTCAGCAAACATTTATCCTGCAGGTACCGTGTGCTGGGGTCTGTTCTAAATGCTTGAGGCGCAGCAAGCACTGCACTTCTGGAGCTGACATTCTAGAAAGGAAACCAGACAAGATATTAGGTGAATGAGGAAAATTCTTAAAATGCCAGAGAAGGGCCCTGGAGAAAAATAAAGCAGGAAAGAGGGTTGAGAGTGATATATAGGGCTTCGAGGAACAGTTTAAAATTTTAAATGGGAGGATCAGGGAAAGCCAGCCTGAGGTGACCAGAGGAATGAGGGAGGGAGCAGTGTGGTATGTTTCAGGCAGAGGGCACTCAC